CAGAGGGATGTTAGAAAGTGAGAAAGGCAGAAGAGACAAAATAAGAAACAATGGGATCTAAGATAGCACAGAATTTATAATTAGAAAGAACTTACAGATCATTTGGTTAAATAGAATCACCAAGTTGCAGGAGACAACCTAGACCAGAGGTGGGGAACCTGTGGCCTTGTTCTGTGAAGTTTGGATTCAGTCAAAGGGCTATACTTGAAGACTTAGAGAGTCACATGTAGCCTCAGCTGCAGCTTCCCCACCCCAACCTAGATCAAAATGTATCTGAACAGAAATCCATTCCACTCCATCTCTGAAAAGAGGCCATCCAGCTTTTGCTTGAAGACCTCTAGGGAGGAAACCTATTATTTTCCAACCCCATTCCCTTTAGGATAGCTCTAATGCTTAGGAATTTTCCCCTCTAATAACAGGGGAGTTGAACAGGGTGTGCAAAGAAATACCCTGCCTACTGCCAGCTGAGCATATGTGACAGCTCCATGCTTGGGTGTTTTGGGGATGGTGAGGAAGAGCAGATGACCCACCAGGTGTTTAAGAGGGGAGTGACTCTGGCCCTTTTAGTCTCTGACTCTTCCAGATGAGAAGAGGTGATGGAGAGGAAGCGGGTGTCACCCTTACTGTGACCTGGGTCTCACAGAACCTAGAGTGCATATCCTTGCCTAGGCAAGCCTGAGACTGGATCTCAGAGTCTTAGCTACCTCTTCTATTGTGTGCTTCTTTCCTGAATATAGATGACTAAACATTAATTTTGAGATAGACTTGTCCAGGCTCTGGGGAGACCTTGTGATTTTGAAAGGTTTGCCTGTCCTGTGTCCATTAAGTAGAACTGACTGGCAGAAGGGGAAGTTTCTACATCAGATAAAATGACCACCAACAAGAAGGTTGAGCCTGGCTGGCCAGAAGACGTGGACTTTGAGGGGACAGTGCAGAGTCGAGGTGAAATTTAACAACGCCTATTTAGTGTCTTCACAAACTACTTTATGCTCTAATGAGGTTAAAATCTCAGTCTCTTAGAAAAGTAGACCAGTAGTTATAAGTTAAGTTACTGAATCCTGTTTTAAGTCTTTCTATCATTATATACTTGAGTATTTTGTGTTTAGCATTCTTTTTGTGCATGGGAAATAAATACCTGTCCCCTACCTGATTCATATTGTACACCTAGTACCTTTCTGTTCCCCTCTTTGGTGGGGACTCTACATAGCAGTCAAACTTAATCCCTCAGTAGTATTTCCTCAGGGGTGTAGGGTGGGGGAGAGTAAAAAGTCAAAGAATGTGAGAAAAGGAGCTTAAGCTTTCTTACAGTAATTCAGGTTACAGCAGGAGTGAACCCAGTCTGGCTATGTGTGTGAATCCCCCTCAGTGAGGGGGTAAAGGGTATACTCCACCAATAATTTTTAATATTAGACTTGCATATAGTTCAAATCTGAATTTATGAAGTTCTAATTTGGCTCTTTGGGGCTAAATAGAACAAATTTAACACAAAATATTTGAAGACCGTGAGAGAAGTGATTAATGATTTGGGGAGATTCAGAGTCTCCCCTTTTTCTATTTTCAAGACCTCAGTCTCTGAAGGTTGAGTTAACCTCCTCCATCTGATTCCACCCAACTTTACAAGGAATCTCTAGTCTAAGGTAAATTCCATTCAATCAAGCTTGGGTGGAGACAGACCCTTTTGTCTAAATTGCCCAAGGCTGGGGGTGGCCTGGGTATAGAGATAGTCTCTCTGTCCAAGAATGACATGATGTCACTCTCAGCCCCTCATTGTAATATTCATTCTCTCATTAATTGTAAACCAATCAAGATGGATTTCCACTCTGGGGAACACCTGCTCTTAGAAGGGTATATAAACTCTAAACCGGCTGCCATAATTATCTTTGTTTAAGAGAGACAGCCACATGACCATCTTTTATTAATAAACATGCTGGCCTTATTGATAAAATTATTAAATTACCCAGAAACTATGTCTCTTGAACCTTTTAATTATAACAACAGCTAGCTTCTCTCCCCAAACCTTCTCTTACCCAAGCTAAATATTTCTGGTTCCTTTACTTCATCTTAAAAGTCATGGCCCTGTATCTCTACCATCCTAACCATCTTCCTCTAGACAAGCTCCTATTTGTCAATATCATTCTGAAAATGTGGCTCATTGAACTGGCCAAAGTACTTTATATGGGGTCTGACTGGGGCAGATTACAGCCGGACCATTATGTCCATGGCTCTGAACACTGTGCCTGACTTAATGTAACAAGAATGCATTTGTTTTTTTTGGCTAACATGGCAGTCTGTTGACTAATATTGAGCTTGTTGCCCAACTAAAATCCCTAGGTTTTTGGTTTTTTTCACATGAACTACTTCCTTGCTAAGTCCTTAGTCCCAGAAGTCCAAAACCTTCATTTTACAGATGAGGAAATGGTGGCCCAGAGTTCAAAGTCATGTAGTAAGTTAATGGTAGAGCTGGGACTAGGACCTACATCTATTTCAAGCATCTGATGAATAATGTTGTGGTTCAGTTGTTTCAGTCATATCTAACTCTTCTTGACCCCATTTGGGGTTTCCTTGGCAAAGATATTGGAGGGGTTTGCCATTTCCTTCTCCAGCTCATTTGACAGATGAAGAAACTGAGGCAAACAGGGTTAAGTGACTTGCTCAAGGTCACACAACTAGTCATGTCTGAGGTCAGATTTGAACACAGGAAGATGAATTCATCAGGGTATTGGGTTTGAGGATAAGTTCATCATTATGAGCTCATTAGGAAAATGAGCCTGACAGTCTATCCACTGCGCCACCTAGCTGCCCTATTCTGAATAACATCTAGTAATAATAATATTAACTAGCATTTATATATTACTTTAAGGTTTACAAAGTACTTTGCAATTATTATCTCATTTGATTCTCACAACAACACTGGGAGGTAGGTGTTATTATTAGCCCCATTTAACAGATGAGGAAACCAAGGCACATAGAGATGAGGCGACTTATCCGGAGTCACACAACTGTAAAGTATCTGAGGCTGGATTTGAACTTAAGTCTTCCTGACTTGAGGGTCAGCACTGTACCACTTAACTGCCCTCTTAGCCCCGGTCACCTTTCAGTTGCCTGCGGATAGACCAGACCAAGTTCTAGCCTACACTCTGAGTTCTGGTCAGTAGCGAAAGGGCTTACAGAGCAAAGAAATAGGTAAGGTAGGAAATTCAGGAGAAAGTTGAAATTGTTATTTCTTCCATATGTCTGCCTCCAACACAATGTGTTGCACCCCACTTCACAAGGAGGCCCAGGGGTCTACCCTCTTGAAGATCTTCACAACCTATTCTACATTCAAGGGAACTCCAAGCCCTGCCTTGCAGAGACTGGTTGGAGGATCTAAAGATGCTTAATGATGATTGTCCAAAGTGGGGATGAGTGAGCTGCCTCTGCAGAGAGAGTGAGCTTCCCATCACTGGAGGTCTTCAAGGAGAGGCTGGATGAATTATGTTGTTGTTGTATCTTAGGGATGGCCAAAGGGAGGATAGTGCACACGGGCTCAGGATTCAGATGATTGAAGTCAAAATCACACCTCTGATACTACTAGTGTGACCTTGGGCAAATCACTTGCTCTTTCTGAACCGCTGTTTCCTCTTCTGTAAAATAAAGAGGTTGGACTAGATGCCCTTTGAGTTTTTTCTCAGCTCTGGAACAAGGGGTCAGGGGAATCATAGATTTAAAGTTAGAAGATCTATGACCTACCATTCCTGATCAGGTGAGGGTTGGATTAGATGCCCTCCAAGGTTCTTGCCAATTCTCTGATCCATTTAGTAAAGGGAAGACTTGGGGAGGGAATAGTGCCGGCAAGCAAAAGAAGGAAGAACCAACGCGGGGAAGTCATGGAGAGAAAGACTTGATCTCTGTGGAAGGGAAAGCTTCTTAACAAACAGGGCTGAACAAAAGTGGAATTGGCTGTCTTGGGAGGTGGTGAGTTTCTGACCCCTAGAAATCTTCCAGGTAAGGCTGGATGATTCCTTGTCAAGAAGTTGTTATGATGGAAAGAAGGAAGGAAACAAGCACTTATTTTGTTAAGAACCCACTATGTGCCAGGCACTGTGCTAAACACTTTGTAATTACTATCTTGTTTGAACTTCACAGCAATCCTGGAAAGTGGGTGCTACTTTTATTCCCATTTTGCAGTTGAGGAAATCGAGGCAGACAGAAGTTAAATGACTTGCCTAGGGTCCCTATGGCCTCAGCCCCTCAGAGTGTCTGAGGTCACTTTTGAACTCAGGTCTTTCTGACTTCAGACCCAGGGCTTGAGGGAGGGAAGGAACAAGCATTTATTAAGCATCTACTAGGTGCCAGGTAATAAGTGCTTTACAAATATTATCTCATCTAACCCTACCCATTGCACCACCTAGCTGCCTCTAATGGGGATACCTGTTCACCTATGGGTTCAACGAGAGGCCTGAGGTGCCTCTTCACATTTACCTTCTAGGATTTTCACAGTCAAGAACATTTTCCTTATAACTCATTTCAAGTCCTCTTCCATTTTTTCAGAGGGGTAGGTAGTATGGCATAGAGTGTAGTGTGCTGAACTTAAAGTTAAGAAGACCTTGGTTCAAATCCTGCCTCCCATACTTACTAGCTATATGACTTTGGCCTCATCACATAACCTCTCTAAGCCTCAGTTTCCCCATCTGTAAAATGGGGGTGAGAATATCTATAATACTTGCCTCAGCATTAGTATGAGGCTCAAATGAAGTAAAGCAAGTAAAGCGTTTCATAAATGTTAAATGTCTGTATAAATATGAATTATTATGGTTCCTAAGAGGGGACAGAGAGAAGCTAGTTACTGCCCTCTAATTTTCAACAGGCTTCCTTTCCTTTCTTCTTCCCTTTTCTAAGAATCTGCCCAAAGCTCCTGAGACCTGGTCTTGCCTCCAGCCAGTTTACCTTGCTCTCCCCCACCTCACCCCACCCCTGTTCTCACCCTTGAAAAGGAACATGGCTAGTAGTTTTCATTTTTTAATTTGAAATAAATTTTTAAGCAGTTCTCAGGGTCTGGTCTCCCCTGACATTATACCATGGACATTTAACATAAATTCTTCCAAGAGAAAGTCTTACATCCAGAAACATGGGACAGGGGAGGGAGAAGGTGAGCCTTTCCTGGGCCAGCCTCTAGGGACCCTTGGTTTCCACCTGACAGTCAAGCCCAGCCCTGTCTGTCTTTTCAGCCAACATCACTGCCCTCACACTTCAGGCTGGCTGACTGGTCACTGCTGGGGAAGTTCTCCCCCAAAAAAATTGCTTTCGAGGGACCTTCTGAAATGAACGTTCTCAGCTCAGCTTCTGCCTGGAGCCGAAGGGGCCTCCCTCTGTGCCCTCCTCACCTCTGCATGTAGCCAATTCCAAGGAACTGCAGTGGCTCTGAAAGCTTTCCCTTGTCCTGCTTTTAGAAGCATGTGCTCCACAGTCCGGTAGGATGTATGTGGGTACACACGTAGGTCTGAGGCATGTGGATACATGTACATGTCTATTTGTCTCCGAATGTCTGTTCGTATGTGTAACTAACACATATGGAGGGGTATATGGATGCTTGTCTGTCCAGTGTAGACACCTGGTTGCCAGCTTGTCTTTATAGGCATATTCATCCATGTGTATACGTCTGCATATGCAGATGTGTGCATAGATGGATGCATGCCTTCCTTTTTGAGTGTATGTGTGTATACATGTGCATGTCTGTAAGTTATGTCTGCACACACATGGTTTGTATGAATGAGAACGAGTTTGTGAGTGCATGTCTGCCTTTTCTAGGTGGGTGGTTGTTTGCACATGTGTGCATATCTATGAGTTACATCTGTATGGTATGTCTGTGTGAGCATGGGTATGGCCCACGTCTGCCTTTTCTAGGTGAGTGGTGGTATGTCCATGTCTATGAGTTATGTCTGTATGTACAAGGTATGTTTGTAGAAGTATGTGAGTACATGTCTGCCTTTTTATAGATGCGTTTTATGTATGCATCTCTGCATACACATACATGCCTCGTGTACATGGATGTGTACATGTGTGTGAATATGTATTGCAGCAGTACTCCAGTTCAGTAAAGCTCTCATATACGTAGCAGCGTTGGCTTCTTGTTTCCAGGGCCCAAGGCCTGGAGTCGTCCCTAGGCAGCAGGTGTGATGGGACCTTCGGTCCCTCCATACTGTGATGGAGGCTGTTGCTGCTGCTGCTGTCCCTTTCGCCTTCGAGGAGAGCCCAGGCGGGCTTCCTTGCTTTCTTTCCTGCTTAGGTTCCCATTGGCATTCTCCCGTCGGCCCTGCCCATCCTTCCGTCTCTTCTGTCCTAGAATCGGAACATCAAGAAACATTACCCAAGAGGCCTCGCCCAGGGCTCTGGCAGGTGATGAGGCTCAGGGGCTGGAAGGCAGGCAGGCAGCGAGTAGGCATAGCCCTGGGCCAAGACAAGGAGAGGAGGAGGAAGGGAGGGAGGGAAGAGAGAAAGGAGGGAGGAGGGCAAGGTAGCTCAGAGAGGAAGGCAAGCAACAGGGATGGCCCTGGACACAGAAAAGAAAGGGAGGAGAGACGAGGGAGGGAGGGAGGAAAGGAAGGAGGGAGGGAGGAAAGGAAATAGGGAGCCATCGTGGAAGTTCAGGAAGGCCAGCCAGAAGGGGCCCTGAAATGGACAGCCTTCCAAGAGCACCAAGGAGAAGCTGAGGACTGTTTAGCCAAGAAACAGAAAAGGGGAGGAGAAGGGGGAGAAATCAGCATTATCTCTAAGTGTCTGAAGGGCCCTTGTACAGACTAGTCTGTAATCTAAGAGGGAGCAGAGGCAGGGGTAGAGTGGTACAAGGAAGCATCTTTTAGGCTGGTCTGAAGAAGAGTTTCCAACATTAGATAACTGGTGCTCTCATTCCTGTGAGGGGTGGCAGGTAGCACTCCGAAAACAAATGTATGCAGGACACTTTTCAAAGTGGAATTTGCATTGCTAACACTTTCCCCATGACTTTCTTATGTCAAGACAGCCAACTAAGCAACAGATTAATCCTTGGATGTTACCTAGCTCCTTTCCAAGACCTAATGCTTAAGCTGAAAATTTAGCGGCAAGCTGGCTAGAGCTGGGTCTAGCACACCTCTGGTCTGACAGACGTCCCTTTCAACTTCTATTCATTCAACAATCATTTATTAAGCATCTACCTTGTTCCAGACACTGAGATAGGTGCTCAGAAGACAAACAAAAAATTCCTTCCCTTCAAGGAGCTTAGTATAATTCCTGGCACATAGTAAGCACTTACGTAGACATAACCCTTACATACTAAGCATGGTGACTGACTGATGGATACATACAAGCATACACATACAAAATTATTTCGGCAGCTGTAGTGGGGAGGGAGGAGAGGGTACTAGCACCTAGAAAGACCAAGATGGGCCTTGTGTAAGAAGAAAATTTGAAAGGGAACTAGTGAATCTGAAAGGTGGCAGTAAAGAGGGAGAGCATCCCGGGCATGGGTTCTCTCTAGTCTCATTGTACATTACTCTTCTTCCTGACTCTTCAATTCAGCCAAACTGGCATTCCTTCTCTTCTTCACCCATGGCGTTCCATCTTTTGTCTCTATGACTTTGCATTAGCTATTCCCCATATCTAGACTGTCCTCTCCTCTTACCTGCCCTTTAAATAATCTCTTTCTCTGTCTCTCTGCTTGTCTGTCTGTCTCTATCAGTCTGTCTCTCTCTGTTTCTGCCCATCTCTCTGTCTCTGTCTGTCTGTCTCTGTCTGTCCCTCTCTATATAACTCATGAACTACTTTCTACATGAAGTTTTTTGTTTGTTTGTTTGTTTTTAGTGAGTCAATTGGGGTTAAGTGACTTGCCCAGAGTCACTTAGCTAGTAAGTATCAAGTGTCTGGTCTGAGACCAAATTTGAACTGAGGTCCTTCTGACTCCACGGCCGGTACTCTATCCACTGTGCCTTACATGAAGTTTTTACTGATTTCTCTCACTCCTGGTGCCTCCTGCCTCTTCCTTGTCCCTGTGAGGGAATTAGGTGACCCAGTGGATAAAGTGCTGAACCTGGAGTTACAAAGACCCAAGTTCATAGTTGGCCTTAGATACTTACTAGCTGTGTGACCTTGGGCAATTTCTCTTAGCCTCGATTTATTCAGCTGTAAAATGGGGGTAATAATACCACCTCTCTCCCATGGTTGTTGTGACCTTTAAATGAAGTATTACCTGTAAAGTATTCAGCACAATGCCTGACATATAGTAGGTGCTTAATAAATGCTTGTTTCCTTCCTGCCAAACTACATTTTTAGGCGACTTTGCATTTATTCTCTTTACATAGTGTGCACTTATATACATCCTTGTTTTCCCCGTTTAGAATGGGAACACTTTGTGGGTTGGGACTGTTTCATTCTTTGTGTTCACATCTCCCTTGTAGTCAGCATAGGAGATGGAGGGCTGTGCGTAGGGAACAGCAAGAAGGCCAGTCTGCCTGGAATGTAGAATGTGTGAAGCAGTCATGTGCAGTCAGCCTTGTGTTCCTGGGTCCTCCAGAATAACTCTAACGTGTTGTTCAGTCGTTTCAGTTGTGTCCGACTCTTTGTGACCCCACTTGGAGTTTCCTTGGCAGAGATGCTAGAGTGGTTTGCCATTTCCTTTACAGATGAGGAAACTGAGGCAAACAGGGTTAAGTGACTTGCCTGGGGTCACACAGCTAGTAAGTATCTAAGGTCAGATTTGAACTTAGGTCTTTCTGACACCAGGCCCAGTGCTCTATCCACTGCCCATCTCTAACACAGGGACTCTCAAATGATTTTAGAGACTCCTCGTTCTCCCCTCTTTTCTTGTACATCCACAAACACCACCTTCTTCCTTGTTCTTTTAGTGTAACATAGATCTAAACATCTTAGCAATGCTCCCTGATGGGGCAATCCAAAGTGTCCATATGCAGCCTTAGGGCCTGGCAGGGACAGTCTGCCTTAACTTGGCCAGGTCCTCCCTCTGGGCTCTGAGAATGAGAAGCAGAGGGCCCAGAGGCCAACTGGCCCATCTGGGCTCCAGAGTCAAAGCCCAGGGGAAGCTGGCTTTCCAGCCAGGCAGGGGTGGCCTACGAAGAAACATGAAGACACAGAGCATCTCTCTTCCAGGAATTATATGGCCTCTGGCTAAGCCAGGGTCACAGAATCACAAAATCTCAGAGCTGGAAGGGACCTCAGAGGACCTCTATTCCAACTCATACTGGATGAAGAATTCTTCCTATGGCCTCTTGACAAGTGGTCATCCAGCCTCAGCCTCAAGATCTACCAAGGCAGCCCATTGCACTCTGGGAGAGCTCCAACTGTTAGAATGTCTTCTTGAATTGAGCCCAAATCTGCCTCCCTGCAACTCCCACCCAAGGCTCCTAGTTCTGGGGCTAAGTACAAAGTCCAATCTCTCTTCTCCACCACAGCCCTTCAGATACTTACAGACAGCCACCATGTTTCCCCCCTAAGTCTTCATTTCCCAATTCCTTTGATCCTCCTTAATCTTTTATTGTGTGATACAATTTCCCCATAGCTCCAGGAAAACCCAAAGAATTACAAAATGTTTTACTAGAAGGGGACCCAGTAGTGACCATCTAGTCCAGCTCATCCTCATAAAAGAATTCTCTGTACAATGTCCTCAATAAACGGTTGTCCAACTTTGGCTTGAATTCTTCCAGTGATGGGGAACTCAGTATCTACTGAGGTAGCTCATTCTAGTTTTGTACAATTCCAATTGTTGGGAAGTTTCCTTACAGTGAATCAAAATCCATCTGTCTGCAGTTCCCACCACAATGCTGGACCTAGAGTCAGGAAGACCTGAGTTTAAATCTGGCCTCAGACGCTGACTAGCAGTGTGACCCTGGGCAAATCACTCAACCTGTTTGCCTCAGTTTCTTCAACTATATAATGGGGATAATAATAACACCCACCTTCCAAGGTTGTTGTGAGGATCAAATGAGATACTATTTGTAAGGTACTTAGAATAGGCATTTAAATCCTTCCTTCCTTGCTTAAGTTTTCTAGAGCTAAAGAAAACAAGTCTAATCTCTCTTTCAATTGACAGACCTTCAGATGCTTTAAGATAGCCACTATGTCTCCCCTAAGTCCTCTCTTCCCCAGGCTAAACATCTCTAGTTCCTTCAAATGATTAAACTCCTCCTCCCCACCATCCATTCTCACCCCATCTTTCCATATTCGAACATATTCTTTTTTTAAATTGTTTTTGTTTGTTTTTTTGGTGTAGCAATCGGGGTTAAGTGACTTGCCCATAGTCACACAGCTAGTGATCATCAAATGTCTGAGGCCGGATTTGAACTCAGGTCCTCCTGACTCCAGGGCTGGTGCTCTATTCCACTCTGCCATCTAGCTGCTCCTTCGAACATATTCTTCTCAGGACAATGGCTCAAACTTCTAGGTGAAAGCTTCCCTTTTCCAGAAGCCTGGGGTCCTGGATTGGGGTCATCCTTCCTCAATAATGTTGCCTTTTGAGCCCTGAACCCACCCCACATCCCCATGGACCCTCATGCACAAGCCTGGGGACCTGTCAAAAGGATTAGGGATTCTGAGAGGGGACTGGAAATAGCACTGCGCTGCTCCCATGGAGATTATGTAGGTTACGTAGGTTTCTCATGCCACTTTCCTCCCCCTTAACCTTAGAGGAGATAATGTTTGTACACTATTATATGTGTAAAGCATTCTGAAAAGTATAAAGATCTATGTAAATAATAGTAATAACATGTATATAGTGCTTTAAGGCTTACAAAGCATTTTACCTATGATATATCATTTGATCCTTAAAAGAGCAGGTGCTTTTATTATCCGCATTTTACAGGTGAGGAAACTGAGGTTGAGAGAGGTTAAGTTATTTGCTCAGGGTCATACAGCCAGTAAGTGTCTTATTTGGCAGGATTTGAACTCGTCTTCTTGACTCCAAGTCCAGCACTCTATGCACTGTGCCACCTAGCGATAAATAGATGCAAATGTGGCTATTGTTTTTTCATAGCCAGGTTGATACCATGGCACTCCTTTTTTGGTTTCCAGTCTTTTGTACTGGCTGTCCCCATGCCTGGAATGCAATCCTTCCTTACCTTGCCTCTTAGAACTCACCTTCAAGAGACTTAGCTCAAGCACCACCTTTTCCATGAGGTCTTTCTTGATCCCCTCAACCCCCAATCACCTTGTATCTTTTGCATATACCTATATGTACATGGGGCAGCTAGGTGGTACAGTGGATAGAGCACTGTGCCTGTAGTCAGGAGGACCTGAGTTCAAATCCAACCTCGGACATTTACTAGCAGTGTGATCTTGTGCAAGGCACTTAACCCTGTTTGCCTCAGTTCCCTCATCTGTCAAATGAGCTGGAGAAGGAAATGACAAACCACTCCAGTATCTTTGCCAAGAAAACCCCAATGGGGTCACAAAGAGTCAGGCATGACTGAAACGACTGAACAGCAACAATATATGTTCATGTTCTTTCTTCCAATGGAATATAAGCTCCTTGAAAACAAGGGCCATTTTATTTCTGTCACCTGACACATAGTAGGAGCTTCATAAATACTTGTTGATTCATTGGTTTGTTTGCACTTTAGTAGTGTATTTATTGTGTAATATTGTGTATCATTGTTATCTGTGTAGGTGTCTTATCTCCCTACTGAACTGCAGGTCTCATGAGGACAGGAATCATGTATTATCTAAACTTTATCTTTTCCCCGGTGCCCAGTATGGAGGAGGCAAAGAAGAACCAAACAGGCAGAAGGCAGACATGGGGGGGGACTATGTTTCACGTAAGGGGGATTATCTATAGACATGCAGAGGCGTGAAAAGGAAGGATGAGATGGAGGCTGAGTTTATAGAGGGGGCTTGAATATGGCAGCTGGTGAATGATGGAACTTGGTTGCTCTCTTAAGGTGTTTGAAAAGTGCTCTGCACACAAGTAATGTGCAAACTTTAATAAATAGTTAATGGATGAATGATACACAAGGAGATTGAAGAAGCAGAGGAAGCACAGGCAATGTCTCCAGGAGTGGCTATGATGATCGGGAGCGCACAAGAGGAATTGGCTCCCTCTGAAGAGAGCCTGAGAACCCAAAACGGAGAACTGGGATCCACAGGGGCCAAGGATGAGAGGAGGAGCTTGGGGAAGCAGCTGGAGATCTTGGGGAAATAGAGAGCGGTCTTAGGAAATAGAGGAAGGGGATCTTGGGGGCAGAGGCTCACCATCATGACACGGAGTCTTCTGCACTGTACACCTCCTGGTCTCCTTAGTGCTGGGACAGGCCGAACGGTCCCCAGAAGGAGCCTGCAGCACAAGACGTGTCCGTTCTTCTGAACCCCTCCGGAAACCACAGAGCTTCTTCTTCTTGGAGCATGGCCCCCATGGGGACCACTCACTCATTTCACATTGTGCTAGGGACAACGACAGGGGCAAAATTGAGAAAAGCATTGCTCCTGGCTCCTGGTACCCTGAGACATATGGCTCTTCCCCTTTCCCACACCCTTCCTTCCCATCTTCAGGGCCCATGGGGCCAGAGCTATGGTCTCTGGATTCAGGCTTCCAGATTCCACCCCCCCCCATTTAGTACCAGAGCTCCCCAGTACTCCCTCACCAGGACTGCTGCATTCCATGGTACTGTTGGCCGCCGAGGAGCCCTCAGGACAGGCTGGGTAACAGCGGCCCTTGTGAAGGTACAAGCCCTCCTTACATTTTGTGCAAAAATTGTGGCTGAAGCAGGCCTCACAGTTCTCAATCTTGCATTCTGTGGAAAGAAACAGAGCAGAGAGCCCATCAGTCCAAGTCTCTCCACACCTTATAAACACACACTCACCCATCATGCCTTTTAACCTTATCTGGCTCCAAACCTTGCTCCAGGCAGTCAACAAGCATTTGCTAAGCACTGACTATGTGTCAGGCATAGTGCCAAGTGTTAGAGATACAGAAAGGGCAAAAGGCAGTTCTTGTTCTCAAAGAAACTAATGAGGGAGAAGAAACTCCCTCTGCCAGTGGAGATCAGGGCCTTTTCTTCATTTTACAGTCTTAGAGACTTGACTTGGCATTGAGAAGTTAAACCACTTTCTCAGGGTCCTACAGCCGCTATGTGTCAGAGATGGAACCTGAACCCAGGTCCTCCTGACTCTGAGACTGGCTCTCTCTCTACTTCACCACATTGCCTTTAACTACTCCAATGACCTTGTGCCTTATAATCTAATACTGCCCCCTTTCCAATCCAGAAATTGGGCATTACCATCGTCAGTGCTTAATAGATGCTTCTTGACTGATGGGAGGAATGTCTGCAGCCAGATAAGGTTATAAACGATGGGCGTGAGAGGGAGGGGGCAGTTTGGATGGGGATTTCAGTCTTTAGGAAGGAGAGACCCTGGAAGGGCTTAAAGGGTCAAGGGCTCCCACTCCCATGCCCTTGAGGGGAGAGAGTGGGGGACAGGCAAGCCCTCTGGGTATTCTAGCTGCGCAAATTCACTTTATTTCCATGGGGAAAGGGAAGTCCTACACTACTCACTGTTTCCCACCCCCAATCCTCACTCCATCTCTTGGAACAGTGGACCAGAGCAAGAAAAGCACTGCATTTGGACATTAGGAGAACTGTAGAGAGTGCTGGGCCTGGAGTCAGGAAGACTCATCTTTGTGAGCTCAAATCTGGTCTCAGTTACTTACTAGTTGTGTGACCTTGGGCAAGCCACTTAATTCTGTTTGTCTCAGTTTCCTCATCTGTAAAATGAGCTGGAGAAGGAGATGGCAAACCACTCCAGGATCTTTGCCAAGAAGACCCCAAATGGGGCCACGAAGAGTCATTCACGGCTGAAATAACTGAACAACAAGGTTCAAGCAAGTCCTAATTCTGCCACTTATCAGCTGGGTAAGTTCTTTCCCCTCTGAGCCTGTTTCCTTACCTGTAAAATTCAGGGGAAGGGGTTGGATGTAATGGGCTCCAGGCTCCCTCCCTATGCCTTCTTTTGGCAGGGCCTAACCCTGGGGACCAGCATTAATAAGGCCCTGGTGACGGTCTCCTCTGGGCCAGCTCTCCCTCCCTAGGTTCCTAGAAACCTCGAAGTATTGGGCAGGGAGCAAGGCAGGGTTTGGCTGGGAGCACAGGCAGTGACTCTTACAACCTTCTTCTTCCCAACGGGGCTAGGGGCCGGGTCCCTCCAGTCCTGCCCTGGACTGCCAGGTTGTTAGGAATAGTCAAGGTCAAGGATCTTCAGTTCGTCCTCCATCCAGTCCAAGGCAGGCAGAAAGCCTAGGGTTCTGCTCTCCAAAGTCCTGGTGGGACATCACTCAGTCTCATAGCCTTCCTACTTTCCAGCAGGTGATTCCCAATCTCAACCACTCTAACACATTTGGGGTCCTTGGTAGGAAGCTAAGGGTGTGGTTGGGGCAGGGGGGGCTCATAAAGCCTTTCAGATATCTTCCTCACTTATCCCTCTTGTCTTGCAGTCACAATGTCTCTACCTCTTTCAGCCTCTGCCCCTGTCTGGATGCTTCCTGTTTTCTCACTTCCTTCCTCCCTGGCCTTGATAGCTACACACAGAGATGGTCCCTCCCATCTGGATCCCAACCTGGGGCCTGTTCTCTCCACCTCTCCATCTGGTTACTAATGAATGAGCTGTTCCAGGTCTGTTCTGGTTATAGGTTAGAAAGGGATGGTGCAGGGGCATTGCCCAGGAAGCCTAACTAACCCCACGGTTTTACACACACACACATGCCTATACCCCGCTTCCTCTACTCACCAGTAAAGTGTGAGCTTCTTGAGGGCAGGGCTGGCTTTCATTCTGTGTTTATATCCCCAGGGCCTAGCACATAGTAGGCACTTAATAAATGTTTGGTGGATTAGATTTTGCTTGTGTTTTTTTATTTTTATTCAGAATTTAGGAAATAAAACAAGCTTTTCCATAACAAAGTAGAATAGAAAAAAAGACGATTGCACCTGAAACTGCAGAACTATTATGTACAACTTGCTATTCCTTTTAAATAAATTCCTTTTAGGGCTATAAAACTGTGCATACCCTTTGACCCAGCAATAGCACTTCTAGGGCTATATCCCAAAGAGATCACACAAATGGGAAAAGGACCTACATGTACAAAAATATTCATAGCAGCTCTTTTTGTGGTGGCAAAGAATTGGAAATTGAGAGGATGACCATCAATGGGGGAATGGCTGAACAAGTTGTGGTATATGAATATGATGGAATACTATTGTGCTATAAGAAATGATGAACAGGCTGACTTCAGAAAAACCTGGAAAGACTTGTATGGCCTGATGCTGAGTGAAGTGAGCAGAACCAAGAGAACATTGTACACAATAACAGTCACATTGTGTGATGACTAATATTAATAAATTTAACCCTTCCTGGCAATACAAGGATCTAAGACATCTCCAGAGGCCTTGTGATGGAAAGTGCTATCCACACCCAAAGAAAGAACTATGGAAGCCGAATTGTTATTTTTTTTCCTCTTCTGTTGAGTTTTGTTTCCTCTTTCTGATGGTTCCTCATGTTGGTTTTAATCTTTACTTACAACAATATGAAAATATGCGAGCCTATATCAGATTATGCGCCATCTTGGGGAGGGTGGTGGGGAGGAAGGGGGAGAAAAATTTTAAATTCAAAAGCATATGGAAGTGATTATTGATAAATCAAAATAAATTAATAAAAAAAAAAGAAAAAAGAAAGAAAGAAATTCCTTTTTAAAATAAACAAAGGTATCATGTTTTTGTGAAATGGAAATTTATTGTTTTATATTGAAACATTGCTTATGTTCTGCTGTGTACATGGAAATATTCTTTTTTTATCTTTTCTTTTGTATTTAAGTTCAAAATTAATAAAAAAAATTATTTTAAATAAATAAATGCTTGTCGACTGAGTGAATGATTGGCTTGGAGCCATGAGGAACATAATCACAAATGGCTCTCAGTTATCCCTATGGAAGTAGAGATGAGCCATGGCCTAGAGCAGGGGTTCTTAACCTGGGGTCTACAAACTACCCAAAGGGCCTATGGGTAGATTTCAGGGGGTCCAGGAATATTTTAAAATATTTTGATAATTGTATTTCAATATAATTGGTTCCCTTAGTGACCTTATGTATTTCATTTTATGTATTTTAAAACATTATTCTGAGAAGGGGTTCACAGGCTTCACCACACTGCCAGAGAAGTCCATGACACAAAAACAGGTTAAGAACCCTAGGGTTCGAGAATGTCAAAATCACTCGGTATAATCATTCCTCTTAGAGAGTCTGAGGGCAGCGGTTACCTTCCTAATTTTAAGCTTACATTTTTGGCATTTGGAGGACTGCCTTTGCTCAGAGACCCAGAAGGAGTGCCCACACAGAGGAAGAGGGAGTTAGCAAGAGATTAAATATGTGCTGCAGAGAATTCACAAAATGTGTAAGACTAAAAATTATCTTTTCTTTTTTCTTGCATGCTTAGTCCTCAGCATCTACTTCTAATGGTATATCCACAGATATTCTTCCAGAGAGGAAGTAAGCCTCATATTCATAGACTCTAGAGTTGAGAGGGACCTTAGAATGTGAGTGCTGGAAGAAACCTTAGAAAACATAATGTCAGAGCTGGGAGGAACCTTAGAATACAGAATGTCATGGCTGGAAGGGACCTTAGAATAGGATGTCAGAGTTGGGAAGGATCACAGAATCTCAGAAGTGAGGGGGGCCTTAGGACATAAAATATCTGAGCTAGAAGGAATATTAGAACATAGAATGTCATCTGCGCTAACCCTTCATCAAATTATGACCAGCACTACTAAGTGGCTCTCTAGCTTCCACTTTAGAACTTAGAATGTCAGGGCTGAGTGGGACTAGAACACAGAACACAGAATGCCAGATCTGGAAGAGACCTTAGAATCTAGAATGTCAGATCTGGAAGAAGAGATCTTAGAACATAGAATACAAAATGTTACAGGTAAAAGGAACCTTAGAACAAAGAATGTCTGGAAGAGACCTTAGGAATCATCTAGTTCAAACCCTAGACAGCTAGGTGGCCCAGCGGATGGAGCACTGGGCCTGAAGTCAGGAAGACTCAAATTCAAATCTATCCTCGGACATTTACTAGCTGTGCAACCCTGAGAAAGTCACTTAACTTCCATTTGCCTTAATCTACTAGAGAAAGAAATGGCGAATCACTCCAGTATCTTTGCCAGGAAAATCCCACAGATAGTACAGTCCATAGGGTCACAAAGAGTTGGACACAACTGAATGACTGAACAAGTTCCAATCCTGAACTTTGCAGATGGAGAAACTGAGGCCCAGAGAGTCAAGTGGCCCAAGGTAATAAGTGCAGTAAGTAGCAGAACCAGGATTCACAGCCAAGGTTTCTAACTCCAAATCCAAGGTCTTTTCCATGATGCCATGTTGCCTTTAATCATCCACTTCTGCAAGGATGGGACTGGCCCTGTTGACTTAGCCATGGGACAGCAGGCCATGGAGCCAAGTGTCCTGGGACTGAAGCCACCCAGATCTAGCTCAGAGCCATTCCCAGCCCCCCGCCTGAACTCCCCACTCACTGATACACTTGTTCATATCAGGGTTGCGGGCATCATAGTATCCAGATGGGCAGGATGGCAGGCAGATTCCAACCTGCCGGATGTCATTCCTCTCCAGCAGGATGAAGAGCTTAGGGGAGCACTTAAGGCACCCGTTGACCTCCGAGCACAGCTCACAGCCCTTGGCACAGGCCTGACTTCCCTCTGTGCTGACTGTAGGGGAAGGGGAAGAGAAGAGATAAGGGCAAAGATGGTAAACAGCACTGGAATAACTCCCTTCTCCCTGGCTAGAGAAGCACCCCTAGCTCCCCAACCCCATACCTAAAAGGGAAACAGGCAAATCCAATCAACATTCTGCCTCCCTTGGACTGTCAGGAGTTCTCTCTGGGCCAGCAGCTATCTGCAAGCCTGCATTACACCTCAGCCCTAGTCTTATCCCTTCTCTCATCTCTGCACCTTCCTTTTCATCTCTGCTTATTGAAATCCCCTCTTCTGTCAAGGCCCAGGTCAATTGCTACCTCCATGTAGCTTTCCCTTATAAATTCCCTCCCCTCAACTGAAAACATTCTCCTCAAAGTTTTCTAGAACATTTTACCAAAATATCTCCTTCTCCTTTACTGCACTCCACCTTATATTACATTTGTAATGGGGGAATTACAAAACCTTTAAAGGGTATTCATTCATGGAGCTGGACTGAGCTCTGCACATGCTCTTTGGAGCCTGAGCATGTGGTGGAAGTGGGGGCTTGGTGATTACCGCTATTATATAATTATTTCTGTGTATGCAACATCCCCTCTGTTATATTGTAGGCTTAATGAGGGCAATAACTGGGTTATATTTATCTTCCCATTCCCAGCGCTGAGCACAGACTTTGGCACTTAGTAGGGAGAGCCTATGACTAACAATTTTTGCACTCGGGACCAGTGGTGTGAAATACTCTCAAATACCATGGGGAAGTTGGGGGATGAGGGGAGTAGGGAAGAGCTCCCTTGGGGTGCTGCTGCTAGAAGCAAATATACCATCTGGTACCTTCCTACGTTAAGTAAAGATTCTTGTTAATTAGATGCTAAACTCAATTGTTTCTAGGTGCCAAAGGATGGCAAATAGGGTCAGTGCTCTCTAAATTTCTCTGCCTTGGGCCAGAGCCCCAGTGACAGCTCTGATAGCTTAATGAATGCTTGTGGGATTAAATTAAACAGAAGGTGGTGGTTTGTCTCCTAACCCCCAAAGAACAGCTATAACAGATCTCCTCATCCCCTTGTTCTCCTACCCTCACCAGTCACTCAGTGAAGATCACACATTGCTCTTCTCTGCTCCATCTGCCCTCATGGCCAGGCACTTGGTCATCTAAAGAAGTCTAGCTTCTTTAGGTGCAGTAGATAGAGCATTGAGTCAGGAGGACCTGAGTTGAAATACAGCTTGAAACACCTCCTAACTGTGTGACCCTGGGCAAGTCACTTAACCCCAATTGCCTCCAGAAAAAGGAAAAAAAGAAGTCCAGCTTTATGGGTGCCTCTAGTATCTTCTTATCACCTTTTAGCCTTCCTATTCCCTCCCTCTCCTCCCTACCTCCATTCCATTAGGAGAAACAGGATTTCTTAGAAGCACTGAATCACACATCTGGAAGGGACCTCCGAGGTCCTTTAAGCTAACTCCTCACCAAATTATGACCACCCCAATATGTAGATCCCTAGCCTTGGCTTGAAAGCCACAAAGGACAGAGAACTCACTCTCTTCCTGTAAAATGGGGAAAGCCTAAACAAAGTCAACAGTTTTCTAGTCCTAAAGGACCACTCCTTTACAGATATTTCCCTTGTGCCATGATTTTTTTTTTTAAATCTTTCCTCCACTACAGTCCTCATCCTGTTATGGACAAAGACATTATGCCACAAAACTAGGTCAAGAAACCCAACCATCCACAGACAGGGTGGCGTCACTGTATAATGGAAAATATTCTGGCTTTGTAACCAAAGGATCTGGGTTTGAATTAGGGTTTTGCCACTTGCCACCTTTGTGACCAAGTCACTTAACTTCTCTGGTCTTCAGTTTCTTCTGCTGTAAAATCAGGGGGACAGGGTGGACTAGATGACCTCTAAGCTTCTTTCCAGCCCTAAAAAAATATATGCTTCTTCTTTCACCATGATAAAAAGACGGTGAAAGATGGGGTGGTAGGGAGAGAGAGAACCCAGGCCCTTGCATCAACTAGAGTCTGAGCAGGGGACCACAGAGTAAAAATTCTTAAGAAAGTAGGAATCTCCTTTCCCGAGTCCTAAAAGACCTGGCTCTCTTCCCTCTCTCCTACATCTCCTCTTTCCAAAATCTGCTTGGTACTGTTTTCAGGATCAGTCAGAGAAATACTCTTTTCAGTGCTGAGGGGCTAAAGCCAGGTCAGATTCTTAAAGAAGGGCAAATGCCTTGGAGACAGATTGTCCTGGAATGAGGGAGGCCATAGCCGGGGCCCAGCCCCTCCCTCCCATTCATTCCTCCTCTGCTCTCCTAAAACTTGGTATTCAGACTTCTGCCAGGTCCGGGATTTCCAACCTGCTTGGTATTTTCCCTGGCTTGGCCAGTACTTTTTTTTTTTTAATCATACAAGCCAGTGACAAATGTAGGGGAACATTAGCTATAGCACTTAGAGAGGGAGATCGGCATAGAGGACAGAAGGTTGGCCTCAGAGTCAGGAAGCTCTGGGTGGAAATCCTGGCCTCTGATACATCCTGGCTGTGTGATCAGGGGCAAGTTCCTTTACTTCCAAGTTATCAGAGCATATATTTGTAGCTGGAAGGAGACTTAGAAGTTGTTGAATTCAACCTCCTCATTTTATGGATGATGAGACCTCTGAGGTACAGAAAAGTCAAGTAGCAGGCAGGAAGGTGGCACAGTGGATAGAGCACCGGCCCTGGAGTCAGGAGAACCTGAGTTCAAACCCAGCCTCAGACACATAACACTCACTAGCTGTGTGACTGGGCAAGTTCCTTAACCCCAATTGCCTCACCAAAAAAAAAAAAAAAAGTCAAGCCATTTGTTTAATCAATCAATCTAGAAACATTTATTTAGCACCTACTATGTGCTGGCCACTGTGTTTAAGTGCTGGGGATACAAAAGAGCCAAAAGGCAATCCTTGCCCTCAAGAAGCTTACAATCTAATTGTTCAGGGTCACATACCTACCAAATATCTGAGGCAGGATTTGAACCCAGGGTCTCCTGGCACCAAGTCAAGACTCTGTTTACTACATCAAGGCACTTTCAAGCTTCCTACGCTGTAAAGTGAGGGGGTTGGAGTGGACAACCTCTAAAGTCCATTCCAGTTCGAAGGCTGTAAATTATAGACAAGTCAACAATCTGCATCTGTGAAAGGAATTCCCACACTGGGAGCTACCCATATTGCTATGATCACCAATCTAGTTGTTCTTCCTCCCTCATTCTGCTAATACATGATATAATTATGTACATACATATTTAATCTGCTTACCTCCATGCCCCAATAAACTGGGGACAGAGACCGTTTGTCATTCATCTCAAGAGAAGCCACACGGTATAATGGAAAGGTTTCTGGCCCTAAAGTCAGAGAAACCTGGGTTCCAATCCCACTGCTGACACTTATCAGATATCTGACCTAGATAAGTCACTAATCCTTCCTGAGCCTCAGTTTCTTCATCTGTAAAATGGGGTTAATGATATCTGTAGTGCAGTGGAGAGAGGGCCCTATAAAGCAGACCTTGGAGTCAGGAAGGCTGGATTTGAGTTCTTTTCTTCACATATACTAACTGTGTAAATATAGGCAAATCTCTTGACCTCTCAGGTGCAACTATGTATATATACACACACACACACACACACACACACACACACACATATATGTATGTATGTATGTATGTATGTATTTAAGGCAATTGGGGTTAAGTGAATTGCCCAGGGTCACACAGCTAGTAAGTGTTATGTGTCTGAGGCTGGATTTGAACTCAGGTCCTCCTGACTTCAGGGCCGGTGCTCTACCCACTGCGCCACCTAGCTGCCCCATGGAGCAACTATTTTAAGAATGTACATTACAGACAAGTTGCCAAGATCAGTGGAGGGAGTTTCCACATTGGCAGTTTCTTTCCCTCTCCGATGAAAATGACAAATCCAAATGTCATGGTTAATGATAATAAACTGCATCTTATATAGTGCTTTAAGATTTAAAAACCATTTTAAATACATTATCTCATTTGCTACTCAAACATCCCTCTGAGGTAGGTACTATTGTTATCACCATTTTACAGATGTGGAAACTGAGGTGACAGAGGTTAAGTGATATGTCCAGGGTCGCCCAACTAGTTGCTATGGTGGGATTCAAACACAAGTCTCCCTGATTCCAAGTTCTGTGCTCAATCCTCCATTCAGGAATGCTGAAGAAAGCTTTGGTGGGCATTGGAAGGAGATGTCACTAGAGAGCAACTCTTACCCACTTGCCAAGCCCTTTCCTTTACATGCCTAGAAGGTCAGGGTCACTGGAGCACCAGGGTAGAAGGAAGACAAGGGTGTCTCCTACCTCCCCCTGCAGCCCCACAGTTCTTGCCTACAATTCTCACATGAACTTACCCCTTATCCCCATCACAAGGGCCCAACTTCTCTCAACTTCCATGTCTTAGTTCCTAGGAAGCAGAGACTTCTATTGTGGACTGGGGGAAAGGAGAAGGTAGAATATCACTGACCCGGGGCTGGAGCCCAGCTGGTCTGCTGGCCTGGCGAGGGTAGCAAGGCAACCCCCCTGGTTGTTGTCTGGAGGTCTGGAAGTCTGAATCACAAAGGTGGAGGGAAAAGCTGAAGGGACCCTCCTCCTCCTTCCCATACACAAGACCAAAAGTTTTGAGAAACCAGCCCACTGGGGACTGTCTAGGGATCAAACTCCGGCTGCTTTCTCCCCCAAGTCCCTTGAAAGAGCCAAAACATTACTACCCGATGTGTTCTCCTTTTACCCCCTGAAGAAACCCGCTCCCCTGTCTGGGCACCTGTCTTAACGCTTTTAAGAGCACTGGCCTGGGAGTCAGGAGGCCTGGGTTCTCATCCGAGTTCTGTCATTGACCCCTGTGACTTTCTGTCTTTCCTTTCTTTCCTTCTTTCCTTTCCTTTCTTCCCTTTCCTTCCTTTTCTTCCCTTTCTTTTCTTTCTTTCTTTCTTTCTTTCTTTCTTTCTCTTTTCCTTTCTTCCTTCCTTCCTTTCGTTGTCTCCCCCATTAGAATGTGAGCTCCTAGAGGTCAGGGACTGTCCTTTGACTTCCTTTGTATCCCCAACACTTAGCACAGAGCCTGGCACATAGTAGGTGCTTGATAACTGTTTCTTGACTGAATTTGAACACTTTTCTTTGAGCATCAGTTTCCACATCTGTAAATGGTCTAATGCACTAGAAGGTCTCTAAGGATCCATACAGATCTCTTTTCTGGGTTCTGTATTCTAAGGTTCCTTATACTTCTATATTCTATGTTCTGTGTTAGTAGTAATAACAACTTACATTTATATGGCAGTTTAAGGTTTGCAAAACCACTTTATACACAGTATCTCCTTTGAAGCTTATAATACCCCTTTAGTCAGGTGCTATTATTGTTATTCCCATTTTACAGGTGAGGAAATAGAGGCAGAGAGAGGTTAAGTGACTTGCCCAAGGCAATATTGCTATTAAGTATCTGAAGTGGAATTCAAACCCAGGTCCCACAGCACTCTTTCCATTATACCACTCTGTTCCTTAGGTTCCTTTCATTTGTGATTCTCTATTTTAAGGTCCCTTCCCTCTCTGACACTTTATGTCCTGCATTCTCTCCTAACTTCAATATTCTTTGTGCTAAGGTCCCTCCCAGCTCTGACCTTCTCTGTTCTAAAGTCCTTCCCAGCTCTGACAATCTATGAATCCACAAGATAGGGATGCTAATAATCCTTGCTTTGCCCTGCCCTGCATTCTCTCACAAGGTCACTGTGAGAACCCATGAGAGAACGGGAGTGAAAGCATTTCTTAATTTGTAAATCACCATACATACAAACAAATGGAAGGCATGCTTATGTATACTCAGGTCTTTGGGCTAACGTCAATTACCAAGGCCAGGTGAATGAAACCACACAGCAGGTTCAATGTTATTCAGTGGCAATGCCCTGGCTTGAGCTGGACCCCTCCTTCCTTGCTTCCCTTTTCTCCCTTAACTGTTGCAGAAAGCATCAGATGACAAACAAGGCATCTCCAGCCAAGTCTTATGCATGCACATGGAGAAGAATGTCAATGCACGTAATTTGAAAAGTACATCTCAAAAGTATTTCTCTCAAACTTGGAATTTCACTCTAGTCTTCTCTTCTGCTAACAGATGGAATTCCCTAATGATGCTTTACTTCAGCTGATATTAAAAGCAACATGCATGTCCCAAGTACTCTGTTGACAACTAGTTGGGAAGAACTCCCCAAGGGACTGGGCAACAGAGGGAAGCTTGCAGAGCACTGGACAGTTGCTACAGACAATCTATCAAACAGAAAGTGATAAGTTTCCATTTCGATAGCACTTTACAACTCACAGAACACGTTCTTCACAGTAACCCTGGGAGATAGGTAGGGGTAGTGTTATTAATCCCACTTTACAGATTGTAGAAACTGAGGATCAGACAAGCCACAAAGCATATTGTTCAGGTTTGGCTGCTCCACCTCATTGTGCTTGACAACAGAGGGCTGAACTAGGACGGCATGGAGAATAACAATAGCAGCATCTAGCATTTACACAGCACTTTAAGGTTTGCAAAGGGCTTTGTACATAGCAACTCGTGACATTCTCACAACACTATAAGGTAGGTGCTATTATTGTCTCCATTTTACATATGAGGAAACAGGGTCAGAGAAGTTAAGTGGCTTGGCCAGGGTAAAAAACTAATGAGTATCAGAGGTAGGATTTGGACCCAGGTTTTTTTGGATTCCAAGTACAGCTCTATCCTCTAAGCTATGCTTTCTTGCAGGAGGGATTCTAAACCTAAGGTCTGTGAACATTTTTTTTATATGCATTTCAATATAACTGATTTCCTTTGTAATTCTATGTGTTTTATTTTATGCCTTTAAAACCACAGTTCTGAAAAGGGTCCATAGGTTTCACAAAGGTTAAAAAAAAAAGAGAGAAAAGAGAAACCCTACCTATAGGAAGTTTACAGGGGAAAAGACTTTAGCTCAACATCAGAAAGAACTTCTTATTAATCAGAACTGTTAAACAGCTCAATGGGCTGCCTCGGGAAGTAGTGAGCTTCCCATCATTGGAGGTGTTCAAATAGAGGCTGGAGGACCATTTGTTGGGGATAACACAGAGAAGATTCCTACATCAGGGACCCCTGAGATTCCTATGAATCTAAGATCCTAAGTTATGATAAACTGTGCCAAGAAAATGATATCCCTGGTGTCCTTCCCTTCTCCCCTACCCCAAGCCACCTCAGACCTGGCCCTTTACGTACTCCGCCTCTGTCTCTTCCCCTTCAACCCTCGGCTGCCGCCAGCAAGATGCATCCAGTTTAGAGTGAGGACCACCGCCAAGAGTCCAAGCCGCATAGTCACTCTCCAGCTCCTGGCCCCCTGAAGGCAGCGTGGTTTGGGGGCACCTGGCTCCAGCTAGTGGCTGCTGAGCTGGGTCAGCAAGGTGGGTCCCAGGGCTGGACCATAGCTCACAGCTACCATAATCTCAGTGGGTGATGGAAATGGGCAGGGGAGGCCCAGCTCTGCTGTCAGCCCCATAGGGAATTCAGAAGTCTATTCCCCACCTCGGAGGCTGGGGGAAGAGATGGGAAGAGGGGCGCCGTCACATCCAGGGACAGCTGCTTTATAACTTCTGCTGGGACATTAAGGCACAGTCACACCAAACTGAAACCTGAAGGGGAAAGGGGAGAAGGAGGCATTTAATCAATCAATCAATCAATTAAGCAAGCATTATGAAGCCCTCCCAGATCCCCTTGCCTCAGCCTTGTCCTTTCCCTGGACCAAAATCTTGGCATTTTCTTAGGAACAGCTGGCATACCATGGACACGGGGAACCAAAGCTGCTGATATCCACAGAAGCAAGCGCTTGGTGGGAGCTGTACACACCAGCTCCTTATTCCTTCAGAGCAGCTCAGTTCTTCCTCTACCCCAGAGCACTGTCCACTCTGAGGCATAAGGGAGATCTGAGAGAGTCATGGCTCTGCTGATGTGGTGTGACTATCTGCAACATCACTGTCATTTCTCAGAGTCCATTTTAGGAAGGATATTGACAACTTGAAGCAGCTCAGATACAGAAAAGGTGAGACTGGAAACCATGCCGTGCAAGGATTGATCAGAAGAACTGCTGGTGTTTAGCTTAGAGAACAGTATTAGCAAGCATTTACCAATCATTTACTTACCATGTGTCAGGCACATAGTTAAATGTTGGGTATATTTAAAAAAAAAAAAAAGGAAAAACAGTTCCTGCTCTCAAGGAGATTACATTATAATAGGGGAGACAAGATGTATATAAGTAGGCATGTACAATATACATATAGAGGAGAGAGAAGGTAAGCTGAGAGGGGAAAGCACTAGCATCTAAGGGCACTAAGAAATCAATCATTCATATGCCAGGTACTGGGGATATAAATACAGAGAATGAAAAAATTCCTACACACAAGGACCTTACATCTTAGTGGAAGAGACAAGTATATACATATATATGTATACATACACACACATGTATGTGTATGTACCTGTATATGTACATGTCTAGTATAAATTAAAATGTGAGTCAATATACATATATACAAAGCAGTTAAATACAATAGAGGCAGCTAAGTGGCCAAACGGATAGAGCACTGGGCCTGGAGTCAGGAGGACATACTCCTGAGTTCAAATCCAGCCTCAGACACTAGTGGTGTGATCCTGAGCAAGTCACTTAACCCTGTTTGCTTCAGTTTCCTCATCTGTCAAATGAGCTGGAGAAGGAAATGACAAACCACTCCAGTATCTTTGCCAAGAAAATCCCAAATGAGGTCATAAAGAGTCATACAAAACTAAAACGACCAAACAATAACAGTTAAACACAATAGTTTGAGAGGAAGGGCACTAACAGTTGGAGGCATCAGGAAAGTCTTCATGAACAAGGTGGTGTTTGAGTTTCATCTTGAAGGAAGAGGAGGCCTCAATAAGAAGGAAATACATTGAAGGCATGTGGGATAACCAGTGCAAATACATGGAGATAGGAGATGGGAGTATCATGTATGAGGAACAGACATAAGGCTAGTTTGGTTGGATTGAAGTGTGGAAGGGAAAGTAACGTCTAGTGATGCTGGAAAGATAGATTGGGGCCAGGCTGTGTTGGGCTTTTAAAGCTAAACAGAGGAATATATAGTTTATTCTAGAGGTAATAGGAAGCCAGTAGAGTTGATTGAGGTGGGGGCGGGGAGAGGGTCACATGGTTAGATCTGCCCTTAAAATGGAAGTTTGGAAGAAGGGAGGTTTCTAGGGGAAAGATGATGAATTCAGTTTTGGACATGTTAAGTTTGAGATGTCTCTGGGACATCCAGTCTGCAATATCCAACAGGTAATTAGTGATGAACAACTGAAGCCCAAGGGAGAGAAGGGGGCTAAATATATAGATCTAGGAGTCATCTGCATAGTTGTTATTATTGAGTCATTCCAGTTGCATCTGATGCTCTCTGATCCTATTTTGGGGTTTTCTTGGCAAAGATACTGGAGTGGTTTGCAATTTACTTTTCCAGCTCATTATGAGGAAACTGAGGCAGACAGGGTTAAGTGACTTGCCCAGGGTCACACAGCTAAGTAAATGTCTGAGACTAGATTTGAATTTATGAAGATGAGTCCTCCTAATGCCAAGCCCAGTCCTCTATCCACTGGGCCACCTAGCAGCCCCTATTTGCATAGAGATGACAGTGAAACTTATTGGAGTTGTTGAGGTTACTAAGAGATTGTTGAGAGATGTGAGAGAAGGCATAGGATAGAACCTTGGGGGAACTCCCACAGTTAGAGGACATGATGAGGTTGATGAGACGATAAAGGAGACTAGAAGGAACAGGAAGACAGGTGAGGAGAGAACCAGGTGAAAGTAGTGTCACAAAAACCCAGAGAAGACAGAGTATCTGGAAAGAAACGGTGGTCAGCAAAAGCAAAAGCAGCACATAGGTCAAGAAGGATGAGGATTGAGACAAGACCATTAGATCTGACAATTAAGAGATCATTGGTAACTTTAAACAGAGCAATTTCAGTTGAGAGATGAGGTTGGAAGGCAGATTACGAAGGATTATGGAATGAATGAGGAGGCAGCAGGTATAGACAGATTTTTCAAGGAGTCTGGCTAAGAGAGGAAGGAGAGACAGATAGGACCGTAGTTGGAGAGGATTGTAGGATCTAATGAAGGTGTTTAAAGAGTAGGGGACAAAAAAAATAAAGAATAGGGGAGACACGGTTACTTGAAGTTGCTTGAGAAGGTGCCATTTGAACCGAGGAAGCTAGGGATTCTAAGAGGCAGAGGACAGGAGGAAGAGCATTCTAGGTAGGAAGTCTTTGCAGGAACTTTCTAACAATCAGAGCTGAGCATCAGTGAAATGGACTGCCCCATAAAAACGTCAATTAACATTTTGATAGTACTTTAAGGTTTGCATAGCACTTCATATGCATTGGCTCATTTTCATCTCATAACCTTTATGGGAAGGTGTAATTATTATAATCACCTCCCCCCCATTTTACAGAGGAGGAAACTGAGGCTCAAAGAGATTAAGGGACTTGCCCAGGGTCACACAAGCTAGTAAGTATGTGAGTTGGGATTGGAACCTATTGGAACCCATAAGTCCCCTTTCATATTCACTATGTCATTCTCCCACTTTTCATTTGATCCTCATGACTCTAGGAAGTAGGTGCTATGATTAAGCCCTAGTTCACAGGTGAGGAAACCAAGGCTCAGAAATATCAGGGGATTTGTCCTAAGTTACACTGCTAGTGTTACCTGAAATCTGAACTCAAGTCATCCTGATTCCAAATCCACAGCTCTTTCTACTATATCGTGATGCATTTCAAAAAGAGTGAGCTCCCTGTCCCTGAGGATGTTCAAGCTAGATGACCTCCACCCCCCCACCCCTGACTCTATCAGAAGAGGGTGAACCTGTTTTCCCCAAACCTTCAATCTCTAAGCCTTCACCCTTCCTTGGGGTTCATGCTCTCCAGCCCTGTGGGTATTAGTTAGATTCTGTCCTTCTCTCTGGCCTGGGCAGGTTGGAGAGAAGTGAGACTTCCTGGGGGCACAGAAACTTCTGACACAGCAGGGCGGGCAGCCACTGCCATTGTGCCGGAATAAAAGAGGCAGCAGGCGCCACTCAGGCCAACGACACAGAAAATTAGGCTAATCCCCCCTGGCAGCTTTGCTGGCCAGAGTGACCCAGACAGCCCCGAGTCCATCCCCTTCCTCTCCTCTCTCCCTATCAACCCCCTCCTCCCACCATCCCACCCAGCACAGCCAAGGGATGGGAGTCATGGGGATCCACAGAGCAGAGGCTATGTCCCGGAAGTTTGATTATGTAGCCTCTGAGCCCATCCTGGGAACATAACCCTTTCCATACACATTCATTCACACTCACCCTTTCATACTTAATCACACTCCCTTCTGCCCATTCTTCCCCTAAAGTCCTCCTCTGATACCGCATTGTGGCACTGAGATGACAGTGGCTTTTCGAAGAGTCAAAAACAAAACAAAACAGGACAACAAAACAACCCTTTTTAAGGATAACGGCTCCCAGCTAGTAAGCGTGAGAGGTGGGACCCGGGTCCCTCCGACTTCAGAATCAGTACAGTTCCCACTGAACCAACTGCCTCCTCAATCCACTGAGATAATGCAGGGAAAGTGCTAGCAAAACTTAGAGTGCTGTATGCTTGGGAGCTGTGGTGGTGGGGGTGGTGGCTGTTAGAATCCACCTCCAACCTGCTCCCCAAAAAGGGAAACCAGAGAGGGAGACTTTTCATCTGTCTCCATCTTTGCATATGGCTAGAATGTGCTCCTTCCTCACCTCTGCCTTTTCAAATCCCTAGCTCCCGTGGGTCTTTACACATCTGTACTAGCACTGTCCCGGGCACTCACAAAATCAAATCCCACGATGCCGCAGCTGAAAGGTAGTGTGGTGTAGTAGGAGAGAGACAGTCAACTTTGGAAGCAGGAGGACCCAGGTTCACAGCCTCCCCCATCCACAAGTCCCTTCCTCCTCTCCATGGCCCAGGCCCCTTCCTCCTCTCCATGCCCCAGGCTAGCATCAGTCCAAGTGGTGGTGGGAGTCACTTTACTAGTAAGGTTAGGAAATTTAGTACATTCATGCTTGAACCCTTGTCTCCCTCAGGGAACATATTTATGCATATTTAAAGTATATAGCATTTGTACACTTTAAAGCTGCGAAGCAATATATATACACACATACATATAAATGCACACACACGTGTGTATATGTATATATATATATATACATGCACACACACGTGTGTGTATGTATATATATATATATATATCTCAAATCTTGTTTGATTCTCACACCAATCCTATGAGGTAGGTGCCATTATTGTTCCTTTTTTGCAGATGAGGAAACAGAGGCTGAAAGAGGTTAAGTGGTTTGCCCAAGCTAATGGACGTCTGAGGAAGGATTTGAACCCAAGCCTTTCTGATTCTAAGTCCAGCACTCAGGGTAGCTGTCTCCTGAGTCCCTAGACCCTGAATCCTCTAGATTGGAATGGACTGGATGGGGTCCTGCTGAGTCCAGGGAGCCTGGCTTCTCTGACAGTTCTGTCAGAAGAGTCTTTCCCTCCCTGAGATGGGCCTCTCCTTCCCCAAATTCTCCTCGAAGCAGCCCACAAAGGTAAAAATGTCCATCAGGAAGATCAGGGCACCTCTCCTGGTTCCTATTCCTTCTCTTCCTAAACTTCCACATCATCGCCTTGCTGCCTGCCCTGAGACACCCAGATTTCCCATCCCCCAAACCTTTGACAATCAGCTCTCCTATCCCTGAGTTTCTCCAAGCCCACCAGGGGAGGAGATAAATCATTATCTAGCTGGAAGTTCAGGACCTCCCTCCCTTCCTCACCCAAGACCCTCCACCCCACCCCCACCCAAGCTTTGAAGGCTCGATGTAAGCTCAAGTGGTTAAGCTGCCTGGGAAGAGTGTTTATGCGAAGCTGAGGGATCTCGTCTGGCATTTCAGTAGAAGCCTGCAGGGAATCCTCAGTCACCCCCAAACACCTCCTTCACCTTATGAAGCTCCTTTGAATTACTCCTCCAGTGATAACCCCAGTACCTACCAATGATCCACTCAAACCTCCCTGCCAATGAGCTCTTCTATCTTCACCTCGCCCCTTCAACTTTTCCCAGTCATCCTGTCTGCTGCCCATGCCACTTATTTTTCTCTCCAAAGATCCCCAGTCCATTCCTAGCAATTACAGTATCACAGAATGTTAGAATTGGAAGGGGCCATAGAGCATGACAGGTTCCCACATTGATGGTCAGAAGCATGAGTGAGTTGGGGGTCACAATCTGCTGGGATCATCATCATAGGGATGAAGGTGAAAGCTCAGGAGTGTATAGGAGGAGATTGCAAGGGGAATGCACCCTTGGTTGGGGGTGGGGCAGGATGTGAAGCCTTTGTTTCATAGAATTATTGCTAGAAGGGACCTTCTAGCAACCATCCAGCCCAACCTTTTCATTTTACAACTGAGTAGGACCAGACGGGCTAAGATGTCCACACAGAAAGTTAGGCCCAACAAGTTAGTAGAGCTGGTGCCCAGGACTCCAGATTTCTTTTTCCATAACTGTAAGACATCTGGCAGAAAGACTTCAAAATTTCCAACATCCTCAAAGATGCCCAAAACCTGGTATATTAAGGATGATAGTCCCACTGAATACATACTCAGAAGGGAGGAAGGACTGAGCTGACTGACTTTCTTGTAAGCTACCTGAGTTCTTTTAGGTCTCCAGCTGATGGCTATCATTCACTCAGTCAAGAGGTATTTATTAAGCACTTTACTATGTGCAAGGCACTGTGCTAAGCACTGGGAATTCAAAGAAAGGCAGTAACTGGGAAATTGGCAGAGAAGAAGTCAGTGACCTAGAAGTCTGGGTTCTATACTGAGAGGAGGTTGGGAGTGGGGACTAGCTGGGGGCCTGTACATATGGATTGGGACATGCTGGGCAGGTGAGTGAGTCCAGACAGAAAGGGCAGTTTCTAAAAGGACTTGTCTCTGAATGGCTTGTGGGCAGAAGGATTAAAGGTAGGGAAAGGGGGCAGGGAATTGAGTGGGAAGTTGGCGGGTGGGGTTGGTCACTTCTCTCTCACCAATACTCAGTTATCAGTGAAGATGAGGAGGGGGAGAAGGTCAATGAATATAAGGGCATAAATAAACATTGCGCTCTAAGGCCACTAAATTGGAGGGGCCCCCAAACTTCATTTTACATGACACTACACTGTAAATATAACCTCTCATTGGAGGGCTCCTGGTGACTGTGCTGCCAAAGGGTGCCACCTGTTCTTAATCTTCCTGGGGTGGGAGAGTCCTCCAGTCCCAGCTTCCCTCCTCCTTTCCTTTCCCCCTGTGAAATGCCATCTTCAGAAGAATGAGGAGGCACCAGAACAGGGGTTCCATTTATGTTTCATCCCAACATACAAGGAGGGGGTGTTAGTTAGAGATTGTTACCCACAGTATGGGAGTGGGGTTGATGGATGGCAAAGAGGGAGATCCAGCTGAGGGCCATGACAAGGGAGAAGGGGACACAGCTGTAGGATTGTGGCTTGGGTGAAAAGGGACACAGCTGGGGGCACTGTGGTCAGGGAGAAGGTAGCTAGGGTTGGAGTGGGGAGGAGAGGGGAGGGGGAGGGACACAGCTGGGGAAGGGACATGACTGAAATAACTTTCACTCTTGTTTGCAAATTCAATCAGGATAAATTGGTGCTTGGAAGCCTGATACAAACAGAAAATGTAAACCATCCCTATCCTCTCCTCCCTCCCCTTTACTCCTTGAGGGATGGGGGCTGTGCACTGGGGAGAGGTTTGGAGCCTAATCCCATCACTGGCCCAGCCTGAGCTGATGTATTACACCTCGGCAGACTGGCAGGGGGTGAGGGAAAGGGGCTGCAGGGGGCAGCCCTAATGTAAACCTGACCTGTGGGAGATTTGTGTCTCCCTAAGATAGAGCTGAGCCAGATGCTAGGGGACCCAGAAGGTGAGGAGAGGCCCCTCCCATGGTGGGGGAGGGAGGAAGTGGAGTAGAAGGCAAATAAAATCTTTCCTTCTCTCATGGGCCCTCCCCAAACCCAGAGTCAACCCAGGTCACATTCTCTACCCAACAGGACTCATGTGAAGCCCCCTCCCCCTTCAGCCAGGGGCCAGGAGAAGCACTCCCTTGGGATCCAAGTGGCCACAACGCAGCAAAAGATAAGCCCAGGAGACTTCTTCCAGTCCCTGCTTAAGTCTGATCTCCACCCAGTTCCCCTACCAGGTTTCATCTCGTTTCAATTTACATCTCTGTCCCCAGCAAGTATGGGGGAGGGGGGTTGAGGGGGGCAAGGGGTAGGTCAGGGAGTGGTGGGGGGGAACGGTGATGGGAGGAGGCAAAAAGAGTAGTAAATTACCCTCTCGCTCCCTGACTCCAGTTCTTTCTATTCCTTAGCTGGCCACGCAGCGCTCCCCCTCTGAACAGTACCAGGACAGAGGCCGAAGAAAGTTAAGGATGGGGAGGGGGGTGGCAATGGATAGAGAGCATGGGAATAGAGAATTTGGCGGGGAAGGGGGGCTGAGGCAATGTGACCTTGGAATGGAGGGATAGAGGCCTCCGGGATAGGGAATTCCTTCACCTGAGTCCCTTGGTTATCCTCCTTACCACTGCTTCAGGCCCATAAGGCAGGTGCTGGAGACAAACGGGGTTCTTGTCCCACGTGCCCCCTCCCCCCATTACCCCCCTCACCCAAAGGGAGAGGCCGATCTGTCCAGTGCTGGGCTCCCAAGCTGCCCAGTCCACTAGAGAAGAGGCTCTTTTGGTGGGAGGAGGTGCCAAGCTCTGGTCACTCCATCCGCCCCCACCCAATTTCAGGTAGAATCAGGATCTCTGCTCTCAGTTCCAGATAGGACCGAGATGTGGGTGTCCTTACCTCGGCTGGTTTCGCGATCCCCCAGATCCTACTATGATTGGGCCCCAGCTGTCCTGTTCCGTCTGATGCAGTCCTGAAGACAGGGACAGGGGCCCGGGCAGGGGCCGGGAGGGGGCGAGGGGCGCTGCCAGCCAGCCCCTTGCGCCCAGCCTCCCGCGCCCCCTCTCCTCAGCTTTGCTAGGCTCAGCTCCTCCCGCTCCCAAATTGCTCAATCTGCAAGCAAGGGAGCAGAGCCCGAGGCTCACCCTCGTCGGGGCTGGTGCCCCACCCCTCCCTTCTGTCCCTCGGCACCTCCCCTAACGCCCTCCCGGCCCCGCCCCGCCCCGCCCCGGGCTCTGTTTGGATCATTCACTACCCTTCGCTAGCTGCTGTCTCTGGGAGAGAGATTGTGCCTTTATCTCTTATCTTTCTACTCTTCTCTCTGCGTATTTCTGGCAGCGTGCGTCTGACCTTCTGTCTCCTCTCCCCAGTCTGTTTCTTTCTATCTTTCTCAATCTCTTTCTCCCCTCTTTTCGAAACTTCCAGTGAAAGTGTGTCTGTTGCTTGTCTCAGTGTCTTATGTTTCTGGAGCTTCAGACTCAATGAGGGGTTAATTCTCTCTGTTCCCACAAGGCGGGGAATCCCCAACCCCCCTTTCCCTTTCCAGTCCCGTTCTCCGTTCTTTCTCCTCATCCCCCAGATTCTCAGCAAAAACTGGATTGGAGCAGGCCCTTGAGAGTTCCTCAGCCCCTTCCCCAACCTGAGGAAGGGAGGGTACTGTGAAGGAGGGCCAGAGAGCTTGTGGTGGTGGTGGTCCTGGGAGGGAGACTTGTGTCAGAGTAGATATACACAGGAGGCCTTGTACATAGTAAGATCTCGATAAATATTTGTTGAGTGGAGGTGGTATGCTGTGAGAACACTAGCCTGGGAGACAGAAGACCTAACTTGGACCTGCCTTTGCTACTTAGTACCTGTGTGACTTTGGACAAATCCCTTCTTCCAGGGCCTCAGTTTCCCCATCTGTAAAATGAGGGGGCTGGACTAGAGGAGTTCTAAGTGTCCTGCCAGCTCTGACGTTTTGTGTTCTATGATTCATGTCTCATTTGAACACAAAGACACTCTTAAATGTACTTGCTTAAGTCTTCACCCTCCAGGTCACGCCCAGTGGAATAATGACCCAACTTGGGAAGCCCTGGACTGAGAATCAGCACATTGAGCTCTTCTATGATCCTTTGTTCCTTCTAGAAGGGACCTTGGAGATCCTCTGTTCCAATGCCCATATTTGACAGAGAGAGAAACTGAGTCCCCCCCAAAGGGAGAAGACTTCACCAAGGACACAAAAGGAGTTGGCATCAGAGTTAAGTATCTAACCTAAGTGCAGAAAGTGGGCCCTCAGAAGCCAGTATCCTTTCTACAGGCTCTTTGGAGAACCCACGTCAAGTCTTGGATTGGGGAAAATGAACAGATCACAGAGGAGTTTTGCCTGGGGTCTGGGGAGCCTCATGTCTTTTCATTAATGGAATGACTCCCAAGGATGTAGGAATGGTGTCTCCAATGGATCAACCCATTCAATAAGAAGGATGTTGTAGGAGACCAACTGTCTTTCACATGCTCACATACACCCTCACATACGTACATAGCATGGCACAATGGGAAAAGCTCTACCTCTGAAGTCACATACTCGAGGGGCAACTTACTGCTACATGACCTTGGGGAAATCACTTAACTTCTCTGGGACTTAAAAAAGTCAAGGATTGGATGAGATAACCTCTAAGGTACCTTCCAGCTTTAAATATATGATCTGGAGTCGGGATGCCTCATAGTCCCCAGAAGAAAACCTGCGTGCGAATATTGGCTCCACTCCTTTCTACTAGTAAGTAGTACTATTTTGGGAAAATTCAATTCAATTAAATGATCAATTAGTAATGGCCTAATATGTCCAATTCCTTAATCTCCAGGCCCATTTCTTCATCTGTAAAATGAAGGGGTTGTCTTCTGAGACTGCTTCCAAGTCGAAATCTTGTGTTATGAGGACAAAGACTATGGACTGGCACAGTAGGCATGGGGATATCATGATCAATCTATCCCTGCTAAGGACCAAACAAAGAAAGATGGGCTGAAATTCTAGCCGGGAGGATCCTGGACCTTAGTGCTGGAAAGGACCTTAGAGGTCTTCTAGTCCAACCCCTTCATTTTATAGATGAGGATTTGAAGAGGTTAAACGACTTACCCAGAGGCACACAGACAGCGATGGAGCCAGAGTTCAAAGTCAGTTCCTGTGACTCCAAATTCAGCAGTCTTTCTATTTACTGCACCAGAATTTGTTGTTGTTTGTCCTTTGTTCTCAAAGAGGCTCTTGACATCAGAAATGTCATGACTTGCAAGTGAATTGATTTAAGTGAAGCAAAGCTGTGCAAAGTCACCATCCTCACTCTCTCCTCCTTCCTACCAGAATTTAGGTTAGATGTTAAGAGGGACTTCCTGACTTGCAGGGGTGGGGGTGGCCCACAGAAACAGCTAGCGGATGGAGGCTGCAGAATCTATCCCTGGTTACAAGAGAGAAAGAAAGAAGCCTGTCCTTATAGGTGGCAGTGGGGGGGTCTGGGTAGAGTAAAGGTTTTTGCCTTCTCTGGGTGTCAGTTTCTCCATCAGTAAAATCAGGTGGTCAGAAAAGATGATCTCTAAGATTTATTTCTAACTCTAAATGTTGTAAGCTTATGATGCTGCTGGGATTCAGAGGGATGGCTAGAATGACCTTTGGGGGATCTTAATGCTGTCCAGGAGGTAGCTGGGATGGAGAACTATGACCCTTTGAAATGCTGGAGAGAATGTCCTCGCTGTGAGATGGACAGCTGAGAACAAAATGTCCCACGGTGTGGGCTCTGTCCAGCAGAAGGGCAATAGAGAGGAGGGAGAAGAGGAGCAGCCTTCTCTCTGGGAGGAGGAAGCCCCGCTCTGGCTCCCTCTCTTTTCTCCCCCTTCCCACCGAACCACTGCATTGTCCTCCAGGGCTCTTCTCTTTGTCTCCTTGGCTTCTGCATCTCTCTGGCTGCTGGCCCCATCCCTGTGCTAATCAAATCGCCCCAAATGCTGAAAACTCAAATGTTTATTTTATTTTTTTTATACACTTGCATAACTCACCCAATAAGCCAAGCCAGGCGCTGGGGGTTTGGATTTGTTTTATTTTGTCGCATTTTTTAAAAAAGGAAGAAGAAAGAAAGGCAGGCCAAACACCCAACCCTCAAAGCTGTCCCAGGCCAGGCTCTGGGCTCCAGACTTTGGTTTCTCAGCTGAATGGGAGGTTTACAGCAGGACTCAGCTTGGGCCTGGGCTTTACATACCCCCTACCATGAGTGGCTACTGGTTGTGGGAATGATCAGGAAGGGAAAAGGGCCAGGTGGAGGTCCCCGTGGGAAGTAAAGCCACCAGCCAGTCTAGCCCCTGGCTGCTGGGTCACAGGAAGTCAATAGATAAGAATTTTCTCTTCCAGAGGCAAAGACCTACCTAGTTATGGTGGGGCTTTTTTGGGGGGAGGGGGGTTGGAGGGGCGGTGTTGAGTGAGAGGCAGGCAGAATTTTGGACCTTACCTTCTGGACTCTTTCTTGGGCATGAAACTGAGATCCTAGAAACTTTTCTGAGAACTTACCTCTCAAGGATTATCTTCAGGTCAGAGGCTAGAGCACTGGCCTTGGAAAGAAGAAGGAAGGAAAAAGACCTGAATTCAAATTCTCTCTCAGATACATTTTTTAGCCACATGAACATGGCAAAATACTTAAGTTCTCTGGCTTCTTATCCCTAAAATGGGGATGATTATAGTACCTGATTCATAGGGATATCTAAGTGCTCTGCAATCCTTAAAGTTTTCTATAAATGCTGGTTATTATTATTGTTGTTGTTATTGTCATTATTATCATTCCTCAAACACCGGGTTGCTGACAATCCTCCCCGTCCAGTTGTTAAGCTGTCATAGGGCTGGTCAGCCAGCAGAGGGCTATGGAAGATGCTACTGGATACAGACACTTCCTCCTCTCCTTGCCCCCTCCCTCCCCACAATCCTTGGCCCTCTCCCCGACTCGCCAAGGTCAATCCCATCGAAATACGGAACTCTCTAAAAAGTAATAACATGTTTCAATGGGAAAAACCTTGCCTCTGGAGTCGCTAAGAATCATAATATCTTTAAGGTTTGCAAAGTGCTTGACAAATACTGACTCCTTTCATTCTCACAACAAACCTAGGAGGTAGGTGCTATTATTATTCCCATTTTACAGATGACGGAACTAAGGTTGAGGGAGATTAAGTGACTTGGCCTCAGTTTCCTCATCTGTAAAATAAGGGTGTTAATCTCAATGGCCTTTGAGCCCTCTTCTGCTTGGCATTGTGGAGAGCGCTAGTCCTAGAATCAGGAAGATCTGTGTTCAAATTTGGTCTCAGACACTTCCTAGCTTCATGACTCTGGTCAAGTTGCTTAACCTCTGTTTAGCTCAGTTAATCTTCATTAGAGATGACAGAGATACCTCCCCCCAGGCACCTTTCTCTTTAGTATCTCTAATGCTGATTAACCATCTCCAGGTTGCCGGGTCTTCTTCTCTTTGAGAAAGGATGGACTGGGGCCCCTTCCTCCCTATTCCTCAGTTTCCTGTGTCACCATTGCCCAGGAAGAAGGTATGTTCCCCCTCCCCTCTCGTGATCATCCCCCATTCTCTCTAAGACCAAAGCCAAGAAGTCACCAAGAGTCTAAGAGATATCTATTATATTTAGTGGAAAGAGCACTGGTTTGGGAATTCTGTCCAACATTTATTAAGTGCCTATAATATGCAACTCATTATGGCCTAGCCACCATCCTAGCAGATAGAAAGCTGGCCTTGGAATTAGTAAAACCTGGGTTTCACACATGTGATTGTGTCATCCTAGCCAAGTCACGATGTCTCAGGAACCCAGGCAACTCTCTAAGATGCTATAACCTACAGACTTCCATTGAAAGAGGAAGTTACTCACCAAAAGTGACCTGTTGTTTGCCACGAAACCTGTTCTTTTTCAAGCGCACAAGGCACTCCAACAAAGTGATCAATTCTAGGTCTATAAAGACAAGAACAAAATAGTCCCTGCCCTCAGAGAGCTTCCATTCTACTGAAATCAGAAGAC